ATATATATATATTTATCAAAATTTTCTAATTAAAAAAATTAAATGTTTTTTTTTTTGTTATAACTCGTCTTCTAAAGAAAGAAAAGTTGTTATGATAAGACATAATAAGTTTCAAAGTTATGGATGCATCAACCAGAGTCCATGTCTATTGACTGAAAAGTTTAAGATTCGTAACCATAAGGGTGGTATTTGATTGGTTTGAATTTGGGGTAAAAAATGTGTAGAGGTCACAGGTTCGAATCCAATGAGGAATAAAAATTCATTTGTGGCCATGGAGGTTTAAATGCGGTGACTCCGAGATATCCGCAAAACGGATGGTCGTTCTGGGATTAGTCGGCTCGCATAGCGGATGGTCGTTCTGGGATTAGTCGGCTCGCATAGCGAGTTGGATATTCAGGTTAACAAAAAAAAAATTAAGATTTGTTCAATCTATAAAAGAAAGTTTTACACATATTTTTTTAACAGTAAAAATTAAGACTGTCTGATACCACGATTAATTAAAAATGTATGTCAAAAATTCTTGTGATATTAATATTTATTTATCAATAGCATTTAAATATTTGATTAAGTTATATGTCATAATCAAACATTCTCAATACAATTGTAGCAAAAAAAATGTGACACAAATATTTTTTCTCGAAAACAAAGGGATTCGAACCTAAGGATTATGATATATATCATCATATGAAATAAAGTATTGGAGAAGTAAAGAAGTGATCATAATCTTTCATTTGGTTAATATTTGCAGCTTTGATTGTAAAGCGCCTGTTAATTCATCGCATAGTATGTAAAATGCAGAGGGACTTAAACAATCAAAATGAAAAAGTTTAATAATTTTTTTTTCATTCAAAAAAATAGTTTGAGTACTTAATCATTCAAAATGAGAAAGTTTGATGTTTTTTTATATAAAAAAAATAGTTTAGGGACTTAATCATTCGAAATAAGATAGTTCGATGGGTTTTTCTGAACATTTTTTCTGTGGAGGATTTCATACTCTCCCTCTCTTACTTTCTCTATTTTTGAAGAATAACAAAAATCTTGCTCAAAATCTCTATTCTCTCTAAAATGAAGAATCTGTTGGAAATGTTTTTATGGTTGGTAACTTTTACAATAGGCTACAAAACAAGTGCATATATGAACCCGTGTGATTTACATATGAACTATATGTTTATATGTTTTATTTTACAAACCATGTAAATAGACGACAAACAAGTGACTATGTAAACACATAGTTCATACATACACATATATATACACACACACACACCAATAGCCAATTGATGGCTCTGAATAACCAAGCCTTTTTTTTAAAATGGGATGGCTTCAACGCTTGACTCTGGACAATCCATTTTCCGTGAAAGGGGGGAGGGGGGGGGGGGGGGGGAGTAGGATCTAATTTCCCAACAATCCAAGCTCCCTTCTATGAATGATTGTTTGTTCTTGCATGAATTGAAATTCCATTTGCGCCCGTCTCCTTCAGGGTTCGGAGCCATTTTGGCAGGGCGTACTAAACCCACTCTACTCTCTACTAGCTTATATATACAGTTGGGCTTCGATGAGAATGAGAGTTAAGGTGAGAAGTGTAAGAAGAGATCTGGACCCTTGGATGCACATTAGGATGAAATGCATCGAGATGCACCGAAGATCAATCCTCGTATCAAACACGATTCATTGATGGATTTGAGATTAAAGGTGATCAATGATCCAAATCAGTTCTTACACTTCTCATCTTAACTTTACTTCTCTCATGATCTTTCACACACACACACACATATACATATATATATATATATATATATATATATATTAGTGGGCTTTCTAATAATCTAAATTGAATATTTTGTAAGGTATGCTGCTATTTGGTCGGCAATAATACATGTGGTCTTTGTGTAATCTTCTTCCATTTCCAAATACTATGACTTGTGTATGACTATTAACATGTTCTCATTGGAATCTTTGATTTAAGTTACTCATTTGTTTCTGTGTCTTTTAATTCTCTGTCTTTCATATTTAATTACTCACATTTATTTTTAAGTATATAATATTTATATACGCCAAATGCAACAAATAAACTCATACATCCTCCTCACTTTTGGTAAGGTTTAAACCCCTGATCTCCTAAGAGGTCAAATACTATGATACCGCTAAGCCTAAGGCCCTTTGGTATATTTTTTATCGTTTGTTCCTATACGTATTCTTGATCTTCAATATATTTTAAATATCTCGACTTTGAGAGCATACACTAGAGTGAAAATGTATATTTTTAAAAAAGTTTGTATATTTAATAAATATTTTCAAATAAAAATTAGTAATTATGGGTTGATACCAGCTTGTTTTCGTGAAATCCGTAAGACCACAAAATTATATTGAAACTTCACAGCAAAATATTGTGAACGTACGAAAAACAGCGAAATTTCATAACAAAAACACTGAACGCTTACCTTCACGGTGTTTTGCTGTGAACATTTAGTGTTATTTATATGGTCTCACAAATCTCATAAAAACAATCTAATCTCACATGATTTTAAATCTAGTAACTATTACTATAATTAGAATTTAATTAATTATTTTCAATAATTGATTTATTTTTTTATGTAAAAAAAGGGTTTAGTCACGTTTATCATTTAATTTATGTATTTATTGGAGAGCCATAGCATGAAGGCAGACATGCTTTGTTACAATCCGTTAAAGCCAACTTACGAGTTTGCTTGTCACCCGCATGCCACGTGCTTCTCCATCTTCTAATAAAAATGGTTTTAGATTTGGTCAAATTACATTAAAAAAGTAAATGTATTTTAACTTAATTTTTATTTTGGGTAACGTATTATTAAAACTTTCATTTTGGTATCTAAGATGTAAGATTTTAAATATTTAAGTACCCGGATAACTGGTTATTATGTTGATGTGACGAGTGATGCGGTATCCAACTAAGTATTATTTCATGGCGTGGTCAGTGACATGAATTTTTTTTAATCTAAAATTAGTCTTTTTTAAAATCTAAAATTAGTCTTCAACTGGTCACTCGGGTATTTAAATGTTTAAATTTTACATTTTAGGTACTAAAATGGAAGTTTTGAAAGTATGTTTTTTTTATATGGGACTACAAGTTGAACCAAAACAAAATACTTTTTTTCATACCTTGAAAGTTTCATTCGTTGGATATAGAGCCAATTGTTACCCAAAATAGGAATCAAGTTTAAGTACGTTATTTTTTCATGCAATTTTTCCTTTAGATTTTTATTATAATTATTTATGTATATTTTGTATTAATCCGTAATCCCAATCGATTTCGTACAGAACCTATCTCTAATAATACTGATATGAGAGGACATTATTTGGCTTACTTAGGGGTTGTTTGGCAGTTGCTGAATGATTTGGTGCAGAATGATTAAGAGGCTCTCATGATACAATGCAAAATGAAATATAATTGTTTGGTAATTGTTTACAATGAAATTAGGGCGCTAAATGGATAAGGGAGACTCATGATACAAAATTATTCAGAGAGTTTTAGAACCATTAAGAGACAGACTTTTTTTGTCAAACAAGATTCACCTCTAAAAATTCAGATGTTGTCTTTTAATGGAACTATTAAGAGGTCAATAAACAACTAAGTGGCGATGCCTTTTACGAAGGTTTTTCCTTGTAATTGTTTAAATATTGTTAAAAGACTATTTATAAGTTTTATAATAAATTGTTAAATCATTCGTATATTATCATGATTTTGTTTCTTTCATATAATAAAAAAAAATATTTTAAATAAAATTAAATTAAATTTAAAATAAAAATAAAAATGATTATAAATACTAAATTGGTACAATCCTCTCTTATATTTGGCATTCCATGTGATCAAACCCAACTCCTGCTGGTATATGTAGCTTAAAACGTTTCTAAACCTTAATTATTATTGGACTAAATTGAGCTTAATTAACTCAAATTAGAAAGTAATAATAGTCATAAAGCGTCTAACATGTAGCTCAGATATCCCAACGGATCACACAGAACCTGCCTCCAATGACACTAAAGTAAGAGGACATGTAATTGGTTCACTCAGTGGATGAGGTATGTCTAAAAAAAGCATCTAATGATTGTTTCACTTGGAGACATGCCTATACATTCTATCTTTTAAACTCTACTTTTGATTGAGATATCTCAGTTTCGTTTAGTTTATCACTTTATCTAATCATTTCCTGCGTGTCGTACACATAACAGGATGGAACAATACGAAAACTTGTGCCATTTTTGGTAAGATGCTATACTTAGACTGGTACATGATACGAGTAGGATAAATATACAGTTTTTTTTGTACCATAATAACAATCGGAACAAAAATCAAGTTGATGAGACAAGATTCGTAAATGACCATGTTAAATTAAAACCATAAAACCTTCCGGATTTTTTTCACCGGTCTACTTTACTCTTATTTGTCATGTCCAGTCTTCTCAACGTACCAAACACATTCTTATTGACGACATTTTTAGGGCATGTTTGTTAGCAATGAGCTTAATGGGTCTCACAGCTTATTTGGTTAGCTTACGTGACCGTTTGGTAGTGGCTTGATGATATAAGAAGTATCATATTCAGTAAGCTTCTAGGGGGGAACTTTATGCAAAAAAGTCTCTTTTTTTTTTTTTCCAAACATGCCCATTCCAGTTAAAGAACATGCTCCTTCCATCTAAAAATCTTGTCAATCTATACTGATAGATTAATCCACATAGAACCTTAAACCAATCAAACAACGCTATTAAATCTTGTATGGATAAAGTTGTCTGTGAGATTAATCTGTCTGTATAGATTGGAAAAGTTTTTGGTTAAGGTTTTTTCATAGATGGAAGAACGTATTTAAAAGTGCACAAGATGAATGTATAGATCATTAAGCCCTACAAGCTTATTGAATAAGCCACTATCAAACACTCATGTACAACTGACCGAATAAGCTGTGAGTCGCATTAAACTGCTAACAAACCGACTCTTAAGACTCCTTCAATAGAAGTGCACAAGAATGAAAGAGAAAGACCTGGGGTTTCTTTGAACACTATTATCATCCATTGCATTTTGTTTGAGCATTAGAAACTATGAGTGGGAAACACAGCCTCCGGTTATTCCAAACACACAACACAACATTTGATTTGCAAATTTTTTTAAAAAAAACAAACATTTATATGTGATTGAATCTAGTTAACAAGCTGGCCTGTTTTTTTGTCCTTGGCTGTGGCTGCCAACATGTAAATCTTGCATTTTTGAGACAACTTCATCCTTGCTCGATCCGTTCGGAACGTTCTCCTTCTGGCCCGTCTGCCATATTCTTATCGTTCCATCTTCGGATCCCGACACATATGAGTCTCCTTCAGGAGAGAATCTCACACAATGGACCGGACCATGGTGACCCTTGTTGCACCCTGCGCAACGATTTCAACATACCAACTCATTTGTAGAAAAAAGGGCAACAGAAATCCGTAAGCCTAACCAACCAAAACCATGTGTCTGTCCACATATACAAGGTTAGGTTCAGGGAAAAACCGTAAAAAAACAAAAAGCCGACGAACAGCCTGGTAACCCGTTCATCTGGACCGTATGCACACGTGCATATAAATTATTTGTAAGCATTTGTCTAGTACGCACACGTGCATAAAATCCAAGAAACCAACTTCAATTATTTGTATGCTTATGTGTATATCGTCCGAATGAAGTGTTACCAGAATGTTCCTCAGTTCTCATTGTTTGGGTTTTTTTTTCCTTGAACCTCTCTCTACATATATAGGGGGCCTTCATTTGAGAACCCAAGAAATTGTAATAATCTTATGAATCAATGCATCATGTGCGGCATTATTTTTTTTCATCTACGGCTTGGATTTAGTGTATAGTTTAAGAATGTGTTTGTTTGCAAAACAAAATATACAACTAAAAAAGTTTCACATTGTAAACCGAATACATATAAAACAAACACATTGTGAAACAAATATATGTTAATCGATATATTAAATTCTAGCCTTAGCTGAAAAAATCATGTGAATCAGTACCTTACGATAATAGTTCTCACAATTATCATAATATATGAATGCTTAATAATTTGAGAACGCCATATATTGTGATAATTGTGAGAACTATTATCGTAAGGTATTGTTTCACATGATTTTTTCAGCTAAGGTTAGAATTTAATATATTGATTAACATATCTTTGTTTCACAATGTGTTTGTTTTATATGTGTTAACAAATACATATGAAACAAACAAACTGTGAAACAAATTTATGTTAATCAATATATTAAATTCAAGCCACAAATGAAAAAAAATCACGCAAAATAGCACAAGATACACTAATTCTCAAGATTATCACAATTTATTGGGTTCTCAAATGTGATTTCTTCGACTGCCATCTAATCTTAATTTAGCAGAAACCCAAACAGAAAGATTCGATTATGGAGAAAAAAACCTCACAAACAGAAACCCAAACAGCTAAAAGACACAATCAAGGTACCATTGTCTGGCTTCTAATACTCAAATGCTATCCTTATTGTGATGACTAATAATCCAGAGAACCACTTCTGTCCTGAGCCTAATGAAACATTGGTCGTTTGATGGATCGTATCCTTTGAGTATGTAACAGTATTATATGCTTAACTGTAACAGCACAGACATTATGCTTATGTTGAATTCCATTGTCTGTTTTTTGTTTTTATGTTAATTCTTTGGTTTTGATTGTTATAGAATGTTATCATGTCTTTGTTTTAGGTATGAATTTATGTTCTGATTTTTAGATGATATTAATGAATTTATGATTCTATGTCTTGATGTTCAAATATTTTTTTGTGTTCTAGAAATATCATATGGCTTAAAAAATAAACAGCAATTTATCAAACAGCACAACATTTATACTCGGGAGTAAATCAGTCATTTATGTCATTTAGGTTGTTGATTCAGATAAAAAAGTAAACAACATCACCAAGTTATCCAGACAGACAAATCCATATAGGACCTTATAAAAAATTTGGTAAATAGCCCCTCGGCCCTTGATTTTGGGTATTTTAAATTTTAGGCGGTTATCAAGTCAGTTCCAGATAAGGTTGAGAAGAAATTTCTCAAAACTAATTTAATCCACATTGTTGATATTGATTTGATAATCTGCACGGACGGTTGAGATTGGTTTGTAGGATTTAGACGGTTTGTATTTGAAGTGGCCTCTCTCTCTCTCTCTCTCTCTCTGTATATATATATATATATATATATATATATATATAGGAAGGTCAAACGAAAACAGTACCATTTTACGAGAACGCCAAAACACCTCAACGAGGCAACCATCACATGTGATAGACTAGTGATACACACATGATTGACATGGGTAACCTTGGCCGCAACCTAGGTCATGGGCCAAGTCGTGTACACGCTATTTCATCATCCCCATATGGTATCACATGTAATGGACTACGATATGGGTGTTCTCACGTTCTCTTAAAATGGTAGTGTTCTCGTATGAACCTCTACCTATATATAATATTATATACTCGAAAAAAATTGTAACCCAAACGTAAAGATAAGAAGTATGCATACCGATCTCTTCACCAGTACTAAAATCAAATAAGCGAACCCACATGTCTTCTCCTCCAGCAATGAACTTGTTACCAAACTTCGGTTCCAATGATGCTGATTCCATGTTACATGGCATATCGTAACTCTTCACTAATCCAAAACTAAAAGACAAAAAAAAGGGTTGGATTGCAATACACGCAGAATGTGAATATAAGGTGCAAATTACGGGTAATTAAGTTTAGAACTAACTATGAAGATAAATACCCTTTATATAGTTAGTTATAATTGAAATACTAAGATAACCACCCTTTATATAATTAGTTATACAGGGTAAAATTGTCCATCAGAGATTCTACAGGGGTGATTTGGTAATTACCGTAAATAATCTACAACACATTACCGATATATTTTCAACACTTACTGATTTGCATCCCAGAACTTAACGGTAGATCCATCTGTGGTGGTGATATAACGTCCATCCTTACTCACTTCAGCACTTGTGACCGGTGATTTTGTTTCAAGCGTACGAACAATCTTGCCAGTTCTGACGTCCCATAGCCTGTCATTTTGTAATGCCACATTGAAATTTATGCCAAACATAAAGAAGTAAAACCGATGCAATCTAGTGGAACGTAAGAGCATCTCCAACAGATTCTCCAAAAGTTTTCCAAAATGGAGAACCAAACCTCAAAATCTCTAAAAAGAATTGCATTCAACTCCAACAAATTAATTATATTATTAAAATATCCCATACATTTAATTAAATATTATTTCTCTCTCGTAAACATTTCTTTTCAAGGTTACATGTTGGAAGAATATAATAAAAAACCATTTCTCTCTGATGGTAATCAATTTTGGAAAGACCTCCAAATTTGGCGAAATTTACACTCCTACTTTCTCCATTTTGGACAATCTGTTGGAGCAAAAAATTACCCAAAACCCCCATTTTCTACATTTTGGAGAATTTGTTGGAGAAGCTCTAAATGCATCATAGCATATTCTTCACAAATTTTAATTGCATTTGTACTCATTGAGTAAAGATGTTAGCTCTGGATAAATCGTATCTCATCCTCCCCACACCCCACCATTGGTGGGTATAGGGGTGTTCAAAAAAACCGGAAAACCAAGCCAAAACTCTTTATCTGAAACCGAAAAAATCGGAAATCAAAAAAACCGGCCAACCGCCTCATGCGGTTCGGTTTAAATTTTCCCTACTAACCGAATTGAAACCGTGAAAGTTTGCATGGCCAGAAATTAATGAATGGAGTAATCAGCCATGAAAGTTTGTTTAAATACTTGGTTATACGATACACTATCAAAGTTGACGCCATATGAATCATCCATGAAATGGTGCAAAATTTGGATATGAGATCTTGTGAAGGGGATGGAAAAAAACATTAATGAAATAGACTAAAGGGTCGTTTACCAAACGCTCATGGGTCACTTACCGAGTGAGCATGGCAAGGATCGAGAATCTTACCAGTAAGATGCATGGCAACAACTAAGGTTCTTACCCGGTAAGTGAGAGAGAAGACTCTAACCGGTCAGCGCTTATAGAGTAAGGGCATGTTTGTTAGTAGCTTAATGAGTTTAAGGGGACTTGCAACTTATTCAGTCAGCTATAAATGATTGTTTGGTAGTGGCTTAATGATTTAGAAAGTGGCTCTTTCAGTAAACTTCTAGAGGGGAGCTTTATGCAGAAACCCAAGTTCTTTCCAAACCTGCCCTTCCCAATTAAAAACACACGCTCCTTCCATATATGAAAAAACCCTTCCAAACAAAAACCTTCACAATCTATACAAACAGATTAATCAACACAGGACTTAATGGAAAACCAAAACAAACAGCCCCTAAGAGACTTTTGCGAAAATCGATTTTGATGATCGAAAATGCTACCCAACAAGGTACGAAAGGGTGGTGACTTTTGCCGGTAAGCATTTGGTAAACGTCCCTTAAATTTATTTTTCATTTTTGTTTGTTGCCTACCTTACTCCTCCAGAATCACCACACGAACTTAATATAGTTTGGTCACTGTGGAGCCATGCAACAGTTCTGACAGAACCCGGAGACTTTTCAACTTCTCTTGGAGGCGCATCGGGTCGATTTAAATCAAATATGCGAAGTATCTTCTCGAAACCTCCAGTCAGAAGAAGATGTGTATCCTGTACAATTAAACAGAAGTTGCTTCTTACCTATTCCCAACATCCCAAAAAATTGTCCAGGTTTCTAATTTAGTTTGTCCCAAAATAAATGTCACTTTCAAAAGTAAGTGCCACTTTCCGATTCTACCCTTAATTATGAGATTTAGAAATTCATCACTATTATTAAGGGTAAAATTGTCATTTAGTTGATTAGAAAGTGTAATACTTACACATTTCTAGAACTGTGGACCTTTTTCAATGTTTTGAGGTGGATGCTAAGAGGGATTACAAGGATACATGCCAATAAGTTCATTATTTTCTAAAAGCATCTAGTTTTCAGTTTTCCAAGAGTAAGTGTCACTTTTCAACTCTAACCATAATCATGAGATGGAGAAATTCATTTTCCCTCTATTATGAAGGGTAAAATTGTAATTTAGTAGATTAGAAAGTGTAATACTTACACATTTCTATAACTGTGTACCTTTTTCAATGTCTTGAGGTGGATGGTAAGAGTCCAAGGATACATGCTAATAAGTTCATTACTTTCTAAAAGAGTAGTTTTTCTGTTTTCCAAGAGTAACTGCCACTTCCCATTTCTAACCATAATTATGAGATAGAGAAATTCATCACTCCCTCTGTTATCACGGGTAAAATTGTCATTTAGTTGATGAGGTGGATGGTAAGAGCAATTCCAAGGATGCATGCTAATAAGTACATTACTTTCTAAAAGAGTCTAGTTTTCTGTTTTCCAGAGCCTGCATATCGCTATCTATGATTATATAGTTGCAATAGAAAATCTTGGCAAAACATAACCATGTGCATTACCCACGAAGGGGTTCAAAAATCAGCATACAAGAATAACTAAAACTAACGGAAACGACATCCAGAAAGAAGAGCAAATAGAAGACAATTAATGCAAACTAGTTGAATTCGGTAAGCAAATGATTATAATCTGACTACACTGGATGCACTAATTTGATTAATAAACCAAACCAAACCAAACCAGTAAATCCCACCCAAGGGTCGGATCCCCCGCCCGCCCGGGGGGGGGGGGGGGGGTTCTCATACCATACATCCACCTCAAGAAGTTGTTTTCCAGAAGGCGCATGGTTTGCGAAGACTTTAATCTTGAACGGCATTTTTTAAAGGCAAATTTAGAAAGAAAAAATAGATTGCAAGGGAAAACAAGATGAGAATAAGAATATAGGTAACGAGAAAAATGGGTTGAACAAATGGTGGGCACAGGTGGGTCAGCAAATCCTAGCTAAAAAGCACATGGGACAAACCAAAGATTCCCACTTAATAATTTCCTACAAACAATCTGCCACACTAATTTGATTATCCATGCATCAAATACCTTTTACCCCACATCAAGAGTAAATAAAATAAGTAAAACGCGATTATCCTCAGTTAAAAAACGATGTTGAAGAAGCAATTGCTCATATATAAATGAGAAACCTGTAAGGAACAAATAAAAAATACCTCTGAAAAGGCACACGCACGAACAATATGTTTGTGGTCAAATGAGTGCAGTTCATCCCCAGTTAATGCATCCCACAATTTCCTGAAAATACAATTTATATTTTAAAAACAGTACATCAAGCATAATTATTAAGCATTTTTATAATGATATAAACAAATGGTAATATTATCTGTTTTGTCCTGTACTGTCTTGTCTAGATACCAAAAAGCACCCTAAAGTAATATCAATGAAAGTAATAACTTCTATACTTAACGTAAATAACGAACAAAAAGCTTAACCACGTACGCTGAGAAATCAGCAGAAGCTGATGCAGCACGAAGAGCATTCGTATCCAGACAACAACTCCACACTGCACCTTTATGCCCTTCAAATGTTCCTATCCAGTCTCCAGTCTCTCCATTTCTAAGCATAGGGGTGGAATCTGAAATAAATTTATAATTAAGTAACGAACCAATTTTATTGTTGTGTAAATTCATTTTTATGCATCATTTTGAGCATTGAAACAAGTTTGCATTATCAAGTGAAAATACACAAAAGGACAAGGGTCTGTTTGTTAGCAGCTTAATGAGCTTAATGGGACTCGGAACTTATCCGGTCAGTTATATATGACTGTTTGGTAGTGACTTAATGATATAGAAAGTGGCTTATTCAATAAGCTTCTAGGGGGAGCTTCTAGAAAATTTCTCGATCCGTAGTTCTTCTCCATTTCCGACAGGGAGGCAAGGCAACAAGAACAACACCAAAGGGAGGAGGAAAAAGCACCGGAAGAGGCGCCGTACTTGAAAGCTGGACTGAATGCTTGAACGATGGTTTTGATTTTTTGAGGCTGGAGGCAAGTTCCATGGGAAGGGTATAGAAGTAAATAGTTTGGGCTGAATGTAAACAAGTGCCCTTCTCAAGCTGCCCGAATAAGCTCTTTTTTCCAGATTAAGCCACTATCGAACAACTACTTATGACTGACTGACTAAGCTACATGGGTTATACAGCCCATTAAGCCAATACCAAACAGCCTCTTAATGAAAAACCAACCAAACAGCCTCCTAAACTAACTGATGACTGATTCAAATCGATCAGCCCGTACATGGACCAATGTCTTTAACAAGCAGTTTTTTCATAAACAAACAACCAATTGCATATCCTGTCATGGAACTCCCCCAGGCCAACTATCATCAATATCTGTTCAGTGGGGGATAGAATTTGAAACTTGAAGACAGATACATTCTTCAAACAATTTGTTTGTAAACGGGAACCAATATCACCAACATTTTCATGCTTCATTAGACCAATTGATCATATCTTTTCAAACACAAAGAGCATCAGTACATTGCAGATGTAACAACAAGCTGAAATGGAAACTTTGCACTTACCCTTTAGACAATTTGCATTGGTTTGAGAAAAATATAGGATGTTTGTTATCCGTTTGGAAGTGGAAATTTGTTTTGGGACGAACTAAAATAGAAACGTGGACACTTAATTTGGGACGGAGGGAGTAATTAGGGATCCTATAAGAAAAAGATAAGATAACAATTAAGGTAGCTGATATGTTGAGTTTGTAGTGTCCTTGAGGAAGAAAGACTCTTTGCTATGTTATTATAAAGGGTTGAGTTCACATGAGACCAACCAGTTTTGGTGAGAACCGTGAGACCACAAAATAACACTGAAACTGCACAGCAAAACATTGTGAAGGTAAAAAACATCCAAGCCTTCACAGCAAAAACACCGTGAAGGTTTACCTTTCATAGTGTTTTGCTGTGAAAATTCCGTGTTATTTAAGTGGTCTCACATGATCCCATAGTCAGGAAGTGCATGCTTATAAATTCTACCATTAATTATGAGATGCAAAAATTCATTATCCTCTATATTATCAAGTGTAAATTTGTCATTCAGTTAATTAATAAGTGTAACAATTACGTGCCTTTTTCATTGTGGACGTTTATTTTGGGATGGAGGGAGTACCTCATTATGATAGGCGAATTAGGTGATTCGCATACAAGTGTACACCTTGCTTTACTATTTATCTATTTGCTTATTTCATTTATATGGTTTCCTTTTGGTTTCACTCTAGGTAACAAACATTTTAGGGTAGTCTCTTTAATCCACATCGAAGCCTGAGAATAGAGTTAAGTACTCTCTAGTTAGAAGCTTAGAGCATGATAAGGTTTCTATCAAGTTTGACGGACAACATACATCAGAAGAAGCTCACTTATACACCCTTCATGCTCATATAATTCTTCCTCAAATATGCTCATACACACACACACACATATATATATATGTATGTATGTATGTATATCAACAATATGTCTCGTTAGAACATGATCCTTGGATTCCAATCAAGTTTCACCCAGCATACATCGGGAGAAGCTCATCTATACACCCTTCATGTTCATATAATTCATCCTCAAATATGCTCATATATATACATATATATATATAGTTGATAAATCCAAGCATCAATATCATGCTTCATAATAGGAATTAGGATTACCCACCAACAGTACACAAGTTCAACAATTACATAGCGATGAATAATAAGTAAAGTTCAGAAACCAAATACACCACGTACCCTTGCTGGCACTAATAAGGAAAATCCCATCTGGAGTGATCGGACTGTAGAACACATCCACCACTGGACGAGAATGCCCATGGCATACAAGCGGAACCACTACCTTCTTCTTATCCATAAAAATCACTCTTGCAACAAGTTTCAAATTACACGAAAACCCTAAACGTCTGATCGTTTCAATTTGAAAACATAGATCCCAGCCCCGATCCCAATTCTGATATAATCAATGACCTAAAAAACCTATCAATCCACAATTCACCCCCACCAAAACACGCATAATTCCCTCAATAAAAAAAAGTTTTGAGTTTTGTAACCATAACAAAATCTTACAGGATACTGTATGTGTATAAGAAATGGCGGCAATCGACACAGGTGGGAGACCTAATTCTTGAACTTTTGATCGCTTTCAGAATGATGAATCCACACCTCCTAACCCCATAATCTGCCAGGAATAGATCGGATTATTGATGCGAACTAAAAATTAAACAAAAATGAAAGAAAAAAACTAGAAAAATTAAGATATATAGACTAATTGGTATAGGGCTAGGCGCAAGGCTGCCATTGACGATGTTGCTTGATTTTATAGTGTCTCGAGAGCTTGGGATTTCTTTCTTGATCATGGTCCCTCATGTTTCCCACTACCTTAATTTAGGTCCCTATTCTTTCTTAAAAATGCATATACGCCCCTTTCACTTTGTATAATTACAAGTAGGGTCTTTAAATAAAATTTGGCTTCAAAAATACTCCATTTTTCAAAAATAAATGTACACAATGAAAAAGACATGTAGTTTTAAAAGGATATGTGATTAGGGTTGGGTTCACGTAAGACCAAGGGTTTTTCGTAAGACCCATAAGACCAATTTATGTTCATTTATCAACTTTATAAGCTAATGATCTAATGGTTTAAAGTTGCACGGTGGCAATTTTGTGATTATTGAGAAGTCTTGTGGCGTCTATGAGTGTTCAGATTGTCAGATTGTAGATCTAATCCAAGGGTTAAGAATCGGTTTTACGGGTCTCACGAAAAACCTTTGGTCTCACATGATCCCAAGTATATGTGATTATTACATTCGTTAAGCAACAAATGGACAATTTTATCCCTAGTTATAGAGAGAGAATTTCTCTCCATTTGATAATTAATGATATAATGAGAAATTAGACATTTACTTTTGAAAATAGATACTTATTTTGGGACAAACGAAATAAGTAACGTATATACTTATTTGGGACGGAAGGAGTATATCAACAAACAAGCATTTTGTTTTCATCCCCTCGGTTTATTCACAATTTACAACAAGGGTATGAAACTTCGAAAAAGTAGACCGCAGACAAACCAAAAATGGATGGGTGGTGCAACAACGGTGAACAATCGATGATAAAATAAGGTTGGTATTTGTTAGCTTTGATGTAGTTGACCTACTCGACAACCTTGTAACTGTTTACACGTTACATGGTGTTTATTTGTGTGTTTCTGCCTTGTTTTCGTGATGTTCAAACAAGTACATTGCATGTATATAACCTTAGTTGTTGAAATATGGTTCTTGCCGATAGTCGACCATCATTAAAGGACAAATATGACAATCTTAGCTTGTATGTTTCTGTTAGAAGCGACTTTGTGCTTCGGTGTACTGGAGCGGTTGACTATCTGCTGTTGTTGTATTTTTCTAGACTCTAAACAAGTCATCTTCGTTGTCTCCCTATCCCTTGTGTTTCTCCTAACAGATTGTGGTATCAGTATTGTTGTATTGGAGTGGCTAGCACTGCAAACATATCATACGATGTAAGTGCAAAATCACATAAGTTAAAACACAAAGTGTTTATGTATACGTATTTGAAACGTTCATGTCGTACGTTCTTCTTCTAGTGATACGTGTTTATCCTTAAACCAACAAGTAAAAGAAACGGGTACCCCTATGACCCTTCAATAAAGAAAATTAGGTCAAAGATTGAACCTGGGTTAGGGGTAGAGTTGAACAGTAAGTCAACCAAGCTACATACCCATATGATGTATATATATATATATTTCACCTGGTGTGGACATGTAAAAGTGTCTTTGGTGCTTTCTACGTACCAGAATACCAACTTGTATTTGTCCACTGTATGTGTAGATTCCAGACGCGCGATTCCAACCATCAAACATATGTTTTTACCAACTTGGTTGTTTAAACGTAACGCACCCTAATGAGGGATGCTTGTTAGAATTAAGAGAGTTGACATTAACAAATGACCAAGAAAGGATAAGCGTACTCACCGTACGTATGTGCATACCTTGTTTTTTGTAGTATAACAAAAAGATTATATATTTTTTATTATAAAATTTGTATATGAATATAATCATGTTTTTATGGCTAATGCTAGATATTGTCACTTGAATCGGGCCTAAAAGACCAATCCAACGGTCCATAATCAGATAAACTTACCAATTCACCAAACGCTTACAACTTAAGTGCTTACCAGAGGTCACTTACCTATTAAGCACGATAAGAACCGAGAATCTTACCCGGTACGCAAGGGACAAGACTCTTAGGGTTGTTTGGTCGGTTTTCAATTAAGTTATGTACGGATAAAACCGGTTATGTGCATTCATATGTCTTTATAGATTGTGAAAGTTTTTGTTTGAGATGATTTGTTTCAGATAAAAAGAGCATGCGTATTAAGTGGGAGGGCATATTTGGAAAAAAAAAGTTGGTTTTCTACATAGTTTACTGAACAAGTCACGTTTTATATTATTACACTCCTGTCAAACAATTATGTATAACTGAACTGAATAAGATATGAGTGTTTACTTACGGCTTAATTAGGCTTATTGGTCTATCTGGTTTATTCACACAGCTCATTTGAGTTGTTTACTTACGGCTTATTTGCACAAAACATGGCTTAAACGCACAAATAGAAATAGTGTGTTGTTCCCATTTAGCCACAAAATGACACTCCTATCCCTTATTTAAAATACTGCCTCATTCCCATATGAGACACTTCATCTTCGGGCTCTTTATGATTTTTTATTTTGATGTTCAAATAATTAATATTGAGGGTAAATCGATCATTTATGTTATTTAGACTGTTGGTTCAGATAAAAAAAAAACAACACCACCATTTATTTAGACTAACAAATTTATCCACACAAGACTTAATAAAAGATTTAATAAAAAACCTAGCAAACAAACCCTTGACGAGGAAGCTTGGTATTCAATAAAATAAATAAAAGCGTTTACCCGATAGCACCAAAGTCAACAAAGGGAAAATGACGTGGCTCCTTTTTCTATACATATAAAAGGCAACAAAGCCTCTCCACCTGCTCTCGTGGATAAAGTTTTCCGATCCAACTCCGGCGAACGGAAAAGGTGAATTGGCGACAGGATTCATTTCATAATTTGGCGGGAAAATGTCAGGAAAAGGAGCAAAAGGTTTGATAACAGGGAAGACATCTAACTCTGCTGTAAATGGATCTAGCAACAAAGACAAAGACAAGAAGAAGCCAGTCACTCGCTCTTCTCGAGCCGGTCTCCAGGTTTCTTCTCCCTCCAATATACGTACGTATATATATGTGTGTGTGTATGTGTATGTGTGTGTCTAAGTATCTGTATCTATGTGCGATTTTATGCAATTCTAGCCTTCAACTAATGCTTAGGGTTTGAACGATCATCATGAAGTTTTTTATCGTCTAAGAAATTCGTGGAGATCGTTGTGTGATTGAAGTTGTACCGTCGTAACATTGAACTGATCGCATTCACGTAAATTGGAGCAGCTTTGAAATAACTTTTTGATGGAATGAATTGCTAATCTGTTGACTTTAGCCCAATCCTGCTCTATAACTACAAAGGCTTTAAGTACTCATCAATGAAGTTCGTGATGTATCTGTTCTGGATTGAGGGACCGATTCCAGTAAAAATGTCAGAGGTACAAATTTGATATAGAACCTTTCAAGTTCAAATCATTCTAATACATCCTGCAAAATTGGATTCTAAAACAACTTTAATCTCGAAAACTATGAAAATCATATAGATCTTATTGAAGTTCATACCCAATGAGCCTCTCATATTTCACTTAGATTGCTGTTTAGTCCTTCTCAAAAGCCTAATTTGTTCATCTATGAATGGTCAGCCAAGAAAAGTCTAATTACAAATTCCTGGAAGAAAGGAATTTGACCATGTCCTCTGTACTCCATGCCCAATTCTAAGCTTTCAGTTGTGTCATTTCAGTACATTATCTCTTGAGGTCTTCTATATGTTTCTTTCTCGTCTATTATCCCATTACACTCATCGATTACATCTTTTCAAGGACATATTATTTGTCAAAAACCATTATTCAAATTATTAATAGAATGAATCTCAGTTGTTAGTATTTCTAAAGCATATGCTCTTTGTTCGTTATGTTAATAAGTTAATCGAGTTCCAAAGTCCAAACCTTCTGGTCACATGATTTAAGTCATTGGGAAAGATCAACCTGTTTATCCCTAAAATAACTTTCATCCGTTTGAGTGACATGAAACCTGTATCTAGCGAACGTCCTTTTGGGGGGGGGGGGGGGAGGTAAGGTGAGGCAATATTAACATGGGGCGAGGGAGCAAGCATTCAAGAAAAAACTCGAACATGTGGAATATATCTAAGAAGTTGTCTTCATACAGGAGAGTTTTGATTGTTCCACCTTTTTTTAAGCCTATCCAGCTATTTGGATAAATGGTTACAAACAAATGTCACTAGCATCACACTTATCTTATCAGGTAACATTTTTGACCAATAAAATGAATTGTTAGTAAGCATTTCTTACTCGACAAACGCTAACTGGGTGAAGAACTTGACACCCTCATTACAGGAACCATTGCTGGTGGTGGAGTTATCCCAGGACATGTCTTATATTTGGACAAAGTCACCTCACCCCTTTGTCAACTGATTTACACACTAGAAGCTTTTCACCCTTAATTACGAGATGGAAACATTCATCACTTCCTTTGTTATCAAGCACAAAAATCACCATTTTGTTAATTAAAACTGGAATGATTACACATTTCTAAAAACTATGTGTAAATTTCGTAATATCTGTACAGTTTCCGGTGGGTCGTGTTCACCGTCTATTGAAGACTAGAGTTGCTGCTAACGGAAGGGTTGGAGCAACAGCTGCCGTTTACACAGCGGCAATCCTAGAGTATCTTACTGCCGAGGTGCTCGAATTGGCAGGTAACGCAAGCAAAGATCTGAAAGTAAAGCGTATATCGCCGAGGCATTTACAGCTTGCCATAAGAGGGGATGAAGAACTTGACACCCTCATTAAAGGAACCATTGCTGGTGGTGGAGTTATCCCTCACATTCACAAGTCACTCATCAACAAATCTTCCAAAGAGTAAAAAACACACACACACTCTTCTATTTTTCTCGATGGTTTTATTGTTGTCACCTGCGTTTTGGTTTGACGAAATGTCATTCAGAGATCTTGATCTAGTGATTTGATTTTGAATCGGAAATAATTTTGAAGTCTTTGATGTGTTTGGTTCGGAGAATTTGGTTTCATTCTTCATGGAAAATTTATTAAAAGAATAATTAAATTACCCTTTTTTAAAGGGTATGTTAAACTATGCCTACACTAATCCCGACAAAAGAATTTCTAGTTATATCTTGTAAATATATTAGAAAAGAATTTTTTTTTGTCATTTTGATTGTATTTGATCCACCTTTTCAATTGATTGTATAGTATCTCAAAACACATGATATCTCATATTTTACCGTACCATACAAGTGCAGATAAATCACAGTTGTTACTGACGTCTAGGATCGAGCATGAAGTAAATGGAATATTCCACCATATCCCCTCGGCCTCAACCACTACTTCATAACCCTTGTTGTTTAATTAAATTACCTTATATCCATCAAGACAAAGAATCATGTGAGAACAAGAGTTATGTTGAAAAATGTAAAAAAGGAATTAGATTCTTGATCACTTTTAATCCCAAAACAACTAATTAATTACACTTTAGAAAAGAATTGATCTGGTGTATCTCTTAAGTGTTGATTTTCAATTAGGATCAATCAGAAAGTGGAGATCCCTTCTTACCCTTCTTACCAAAGCTTTCATTCTCAACGAAACTCAACCCTATTAATCAATTATTACAAAACAAACGTTTTTAACATATTTTAAAATAATACTACAAACAAATCCTACAAAATCCTGTGAAATACCAACTACCCATGGGTTTCCAGTATCGGATTCTCCTTTGAACCAAGCACGACATTATAATGGAATCCAATTTCAAATCCCACCAAACTCAGTGAACCAAACGGGTCCTTACATTGAGTCTGTGTTCATACTGTAATCGAGTTGAGTTCCACATTACATATACAATAGACCAAAAGCCTTGATAGAACATAGCAATTAGCAAACACATTTTTCAAGTTGGAAATATGTACATCAAAGTGTACAAAACTTTTGTCAAAAACATAGGGCCTTGATTCAATTCACTTCCAAGAAAAGGGAACCCTCCTATACAACCTAAATTTCTGGGTTATGTACCATCTTCAGCTGCAAAATTCTCTTTCTGAAAGAAGGGCCTTGAGGTGTGTTTTAATGTTACCAATTTCTTTTGCTTGTAGCTGAAAGAATTACACGAGACACAGAGTTCCATGCATATTAATATATAAACAAAAACATGGTTAAGACGCGTCTTCGCCGTTACGATAAGATCCATAACATTTGGGTAAAATGTGGCTCACGCCATGGCATGCGTTTCTTACAAGGCGCGACTTTTTTTACTTATTTTTTAAATTTAATTTATTATTTATTTAGCTTGCGATTTTACACTTCTACAAATTTACCTGATAGCAGTTTCATGGACCTACACATGTCAAACTTACGGTTAAAAACGAAGATGTAAAACCCTTCCAAGTTGTATTTTCAAATAGTTGGTAAGAGACTTCTTTGTATAATGCTAATATATATTATTTTTCTTTTTCTAATCTAAATGCAAATTTCTTAATAGCATTATCCATTAAATATAAAATTGAAATATTGTATTAAATGGGATAATGATGATATATTTATACATACAAATATATGTAGAATAAATTACGATTTTCGTCCCTGTGGGTTGTTAAAAATTGCGGTTTTTGTCCTCATGGTTTAGAAATTGTGGTTTTCATCCATGTGGTTTGTAATTCATTGCTATTTTCGTCCTTATGATTTACAATATATTGTTGTTTCGACCCTTGTGGTTTACAATTCTTTACTGTTTTGGTCCCTTGTACGTAAAGGTAGGAATTAATCTAGGGACGGAAATAACAATAAATTGCAAATTATAAAGACGAAAATGACAATTTCTAAACCACTGGGACAAAAATCAAAATTATTAACAAACCACAAAAACAATAATCGTAATTTACTCTTAGGGGGTGTTTCAGATTGCTTATAAAAACAACTTATTGACTTATTCCGGTATGGCATCAGTAATAAGCACTTTTGAGTATTTAGATAAACAACTTATACCGGTACCAAACCGGTAACAAAGAGTTTTTGAAAAAGTTAAATCATTCTAACTTATAATAAGTTGACAAGGACTTTTATAGAGAGGCATAAGTTGTTTCAAATAAACAATCTCAAACACCCCCTTAATATATAAATTTGTCACCTTACGTCATGCCATGAAAAAGGCCGTATCCTAGCCATGGCGTGTATGGTTTAACATCGCCACCACGCCACGCTACATGCCGTTTAGAACCTTGGTTTTGGGTCATCAAAATGTGATGGGTTTTGCAGTTACCTGGTATAATGCATCCCAACATAGTTTGAACTTCATGTCTAGTGCACACCACTCCATTGCCATCTCAAATGCAATAGTATTGGGTTGTGAATAATGAGATGTTGAAACTGCATGTCTCTAAAGGCATACAACATCTTATTTTATATCATAACAAAGACTAGTGATAAATTAGGATACTTCCAAAATAGTCATTTTTGACCTCTCAATTCACTTCATAGTTGTTTTTCCACATACCTGACTAAAGTAGTCGAGATTTTGCAAGTAGCACTTTAACATCTTACGTAATATCTACTTTTATGAATATTATATTCATAAACGTAACAACTATGCAACTTGCTAAAGTGCCATTTACGCAACTTGCCACGTCATCATTTTGCAAAAGTTACTTTATGGATATTAAATTCATAAAAAGTAGATTTCGCAAGTTGCTAAAGTGCTACTTGCTAAATGCTGACGTGAAAGTGGCCCACTTACATAACTTGCTAAAGTGCTATTTGTCACTTCAACATTTCACAAGTAACACTTTAGCAACTTGCAGAAGTGTTAGTTTATGAATATGAAATTCGAAAAAAGTAGATGTTGTAAGTTGCTAAAGTGCTACTTGCAAAATGCTGACATGGAAGTGCCACTTATGCAACTTGGCACGTCAACATTTCGCAAGTAACGCTTTAGCAACTTGCGAAAGTGTTACTTTATGAATATTAAGTTCATAAGAAGCATATTCGCAAGTTGTTAAAATGCTACTTCTGAAATCATGGCTATTTCGGAAAAATTGAATAGAAAGGCATTATAAAGTGAATTGGAAGGTCAGGATGGCTATTTTGGACGATTAAGAATAAAAAGAAATAGAAAAAAATACCATCCCTGCCTGCTGCATTTGTTTCAAATTGTTGATTGTGATATGACCAAAGTACTTGGATGGATGAGCAGGGTTCTTCAGTGATGGTCTACTTCCAACAACAGATCTGAACCACAATACCAGTTTCAAGTTAATGCTCCTATACTTTTGTGCTCCAAAGCATGTAAGTAAATAGGAAGAAGGGTCGAACAAATATGAAGACTCAATATCAAGAGTCGGGAGGTCCCAGGTTCAAATCCAAGGAGGAATAAAAATCCCCTTGTGGCCACGGAGGTTCAAATGCGGTGACTCCGGGCTATCTGCAAAGCAGGTGGTCGCCCTGGGATTAGTCGGCTCGCATAGCGGGTTGGATATCCAGGTTAATAAAAAAAAGGGTAAAGTGACGTAACCGGGTAAGAGTATGGGTGTAAACGAGCCAAGTCGGGTAGTAGGTTATTCAAGTTCAGCTCGGAAAAATCATATTAGGTTCGAGCTCGATTAACTTTTTGAAAGACGGGCTCAAGCTCGATGCTCTTTTATGAGCTTGAATTCGAGATCAATTAACTCGTTTATTTACTCAAACTCAATGATTTTTGTATTTTGATTATATAATTTGTATAAATATGTTTGACTCGAAAAGGCGTATGCTCGAATGGCTCGGCTCGTAATGTTTAATCGAGTTTTCGAACGAGCCAAGCCGAACATTGGTATCATGGAGCTCGTCTCGTTAAGTTACGCGAACTTGTGTTCGAGATTGACTCGAGCTCGATAATTATTAAGCTCGAGCTCGAGATAAACGAGCATGAGTTCGAGTAGCTCATTCAAAGCTCGACTTGTTTACATCCCTAGATAAAAGCATCTCCAACAGTCAAGCTATAATTTTTCTATAATAAAGTATGAAAAGTCAAAATCACTAAAAACTCCAACAACTACTTTATTTTAACAATCTTATCATAGACTATATTAATAAAATCTTCAATACATTCAATAAAATACTATTATCTTTCTTACACATTTAATCTCATTAACTCTTATTGGTGGAAAAGAATTAAAATATTATTCTCTCTCTTTTATACAGTTTTAGAGATTTTCATCTTATTTCTTTTCCTTTTTCTATTTTAACATAATTGTTGGAGATGTTATAAACGTTTAGTAAACAACCCTCAGTCAAGCAAAACTTCCTTTCTCCAACAACTTCTAAAAATGGAGAAAAATAAGGTTTTTGGAGGGATTTTTGGGTTCTAATAGCTCCCCAAAACTCTCCAAAAACTCCACTTATTATCCCCAAAGCAACCCCCAACCAACCAATGAAATAAATGGAGAAAGAAAGAAAATACTTTTATTATATTATTAAATGTTTTAGTAATATTAGAAGGATACTCGTACAATACAGCAAGATAAATCTCGATTTTAATGTTTAATTTTTATTCTTTGTCTCTATCGATATAATACGATTTTATGTGGTTTTGAGAAAGCGGTAGTGTTTTTATTTTTAAATGAAATATAAATTTGAAAATAGCATCAAATTGTGGGGAAAAAATCGATATTAGTATCAAATCAACTATTTAATAATTTTCATTTTTTTGATGTAACTTCTTTAATTCAATTTTTTTTATAATTTAATTTATATTTAATAACAAATTAATTTATTAATCTTTATAAAAATAATAAGTAACATTATGTTAGAACTCAATGATTATCTTAATTATATTTTAGATTTTCTATATTTAAAATGGATGTTTATCCTATATTTGATTATGTTTATCTGCAATTAATTACACGAATTTAAAAATAAAGCTTTAATAAGTTGTACTTACGTAAAATTATTTGTAATCTTGAATTTTAAGTAATATGCATCAATAAACAGTACTTCATGCATAAAAAATGGTTTTTAAGAGTTCTTGTCAAATGTTGTATAATATAGTATAGATAATTAAGGTTAAAATCCCTAATAATAAAAAAGCGAATGGAGTTAGATATAAATTTTTTTCTTCATTTCGAGAAGAGTACCACTAGATCAGCACTAATGAGAAGCACTGGATCAATTCCCTTCTAAAGCGCAATTCATGGGTTGGTTTGAAACTAAAAGTGATCAAGGGTCCAAATCCCTTCTTACACTTCTCACCTTGACCCCTATTCTCACACAATCCTTCATCCGACCTCTGATAGGAGTATTTGATGACAGAGGATTAGTGTAGACAGGTTGGAAGGGGGGAGAGGGCTAGCAGTTTGTTGGTGATTTTAGTGACTCATCAGGCCGTTTGGTGTAACTAGATTCACAAGGGTTGTAAGTTTAGCTACAATACGGTTAGGAGGTGCCCAGTGCACACTTGTGTAAGCTAGCTAGTCCGAGATCGCCAGATAGGGGTCAAGGGGAAGACACTGATGATTTTGGTGTTTGGTGAACTTCAGTGTTTCAGTGGTGGCATGGATCATTGGTACCTGATCAGTGTTTACCTACCGATGCTGGATACACCCGTTGATGCCATCTGTTCCTAACTGCTACAGAATTGTCATGTAACCTCTTATAACTTCCTGACAACCGCTGGTAACTTCAGGCAAGGCCTACCTTAAAGATATTTTCTTTCTTTTTTTTACCCATGAAACATAGAACATGTGTTTTTTGCTCTTGATTTTCTGCCAAAACGTGGGTTTGAATTTAGATTATTCTCAGTAAATTTCGTGCAACCTGAAACAAACTAAAGGTCAAAATATTACTCTAGGAAAGTGGTTTCCTACAGGATCTAAGATTCATATCCAAGCCTATTTCTATGATTTCTCACAAGACAGGGTTAGGCTGAGGATGTTCTTTCGCAATTCACCTTACTTCCTCTGTGTGGGTTTTGGTGTGTTTTCACTGTACTTATTGCTCAGACTACTGCACATGTCAGGGGGCAGGGGGGTCATCACGGATACAGTCGCTCTACTCTTTGCAGTAGAGGACAGGTCTGTGTGCATCACCCCCCCCCCCGACCCTACTTTTGAGTGGGGTTTATCGGATCCGTTTGGTTTGGTTTGGCTTCAAAACCTGATTAAACTCAAATTCATGAAGAAAACAGAGCGACGCTTGTGAAACATAACTAAGTTACCTTACATCTCCGATCATTAGGCATCTGGTTTTTAACATAGAAATAGCAAAGTCTGCCTCATCTTTTGATTTGAAAATGACAAGAGCTTGTCCTACAAATAAAGCACAAGTTTGGATATCAAATTGCCTTGCATATAACATGAAAGACAAAGTATCAGATGGCATACCATTGTGTGGGCTTGAAAACGCATTGCACTGTATCATCTTCGCACTTGCCTTTTTATTGAAAGCATACAAAACAATATCCTGAGAAAAACATGGATAACTTTATAGCTGCTCAAAAATTCAAGTAATATGGTCATAGACAGTCTCTACTTGCACCAAAGCTAAACTACATTTTTCATTGTACTTATTCAATATCATGTTTGAATTGAAAATTGAAATCAAAAAAGAAAAAGAATCTTACATATACCACTATAGTGATTCTTATGAACATGTAGTTAAATTGGTTCCAAGACCACAAACAGTTTTAAAGTAAAGCTAGCCAACTATTCATGAGTTGTTCATGATGAATATCATGAACAATGATATTCATGAATCATGATGAATAATGGTCATGAATATTTTAGGGCTATTCATCATGAATAACTCTGTAAAAGTTGGTCCTCGAGTTCTCAAAAATTTTACGGTTCTCATGTGAACTTTCCCGTATATGCCCATGTCCAGTTATCCATATATTTGTTTGTTTATCAAAAGATGGCTTGTAAAGACGACGAAGAATGTCCCCATAGTCCATCGAGCAATACATGCGCAAATGGCAACCAGATTTTTAGTATCCATTTTCATGTCTAACCCATGTATGACAATCCACTTTGAGGAGTATGATGTAATAGCATGCCAAGGGGATAGAACATGACTGCTGTTGTACAAAGACACCAAATGTAGTGCTTATGAATAATATATATAAAACCAAGGATACCAAAAACATACCTCTACTTCTATAGATGTAAGGGATGGATCCAAATTCTCTAGCAATACAAGGGAGCCTGTTTCCTGAGCTTTCTTCATCCTTTCCTCCCAAGGCTGGTGAAGATAAAGGGGACACCACAAAGGGAGTAATATTATAACCCAATCAAAAAGAAATTATTTAGGTTTGCAGGTCTAGTCCATCCTAATAAGTGTTCGAAACAATTTATGACTCTGAAATTTATATTGTTAATTGCTTCAATAGTGCTAAATTGAAATTTTTTTAACTCCAACTTCAGCTAGATTGGGTAAGCCTTAGTTCTGTGCATATATAGGTATGTATGTGATATGTATCAAAAATTTCTGAACAAAAAGTGCCGGATAAAAACTCTCATAACACCAAGACCTGTAAATGTAGAGTTATATACATATAGAAAGATCTTCCATCCATACTCTATTATAGTCACAACCCTTGATGGCTTTAGATTTTCTTTCCTTTATTACCTTCTGAGCGCATGTAATTGCAATTTATGCATTTTCCTTTTGTAACTTTTACCATTACCTACACAAACTCTAAAGAAAAATGGCTGATTTAAGGTTCTCCAGTCACCTAAATTAATCCATCTTCTTCATGTTACAATTATGTGCAGTTTACGTGCTTTTAAACTGGCCAGTGAAGGAACCAGAACAAATTTGTGATACTCGATGCTGTATATAAATTGTGAATAACTCACTTGTTTCTTGAACCATTCGCTTGAATCCTGCATGCCAAAGAGATTAATAATAATGAATTGAAAAAAGATTGCTTCGTAGCTAAAGTCAGAAACCAAACATTGATGACCACTATTTAACACTTTACCAGTTTTGATCTTTTCTTGGGCTTTATAGATAGGCTATCAGCTTCGATGATCTTTCCTTCATCGACTTCTAAGTCTTGAAGCTTCCTTTTCTTCAAGTGGTAAGAATCAGATGCACTGGAGGAGGAGCATGCCGGCCTACTGACAGTTGCAGCAGGGTACCTAAAACCTGCAAACAACAAACCAAGTGAAAGCCATGAAACAGTTCCCAGACTAAGGGGCCGTTTACCTAAACGCTTACTCGGTAACCGCTTACAGGTAAGATGCAATACTCTTACTTACCTTACTGGGTATGATTATAGTCCACTGAAATGGCATCGTATGCAACAATTTTTCCGCTAAGCGCTAACTGGGTAAGAGTCGTCACCCTCACTTTCCGGGTAAGGCTCTCTGTCCTTGCATTCGCTCTTACTGGGTAACATGTTCATCCGGAAAGGTAAGTGACCTAATAAGCGCTTATTGGGTAAGCGTTGGGCAAACGGCCCCAAAGAAACAATCATCTTTGGCATGCTTGTTATTAGTACTACCTTTCTTGTTTGTAAAGTTGTCTCTCTCAAAGTGTTCTTTTGCTACAGCAGAATCGTTATATGTTTCAAACTGGGATGAGGAATTTGATATTCCTGCGACTTTGGAGTTCCCCTTGGGTTTGGGAGGAGTACCAGTTTCCATATATTTTCTCTGATTAAAAAAGTGTCCAACTGCACCGATATTGGAGTAAAAATCAAGACATTTAGAGAGTTATTAAATTATGGCATGATTCAAGGGGATGAATCCGACATTGCAATCATCACCATATACAGTAAAACATTTTAACTGCTGCATTACTAAAATTGACCCTACCAATTAAGCAAATTCAGACACCAAAATTAATATAACACAAGCCTTTAAGAACAATCTAAGAAACTACAAAAATCAGAAAATAGGCATGCAACCCCAATGCATATCAACAGGTGAAGCACAAACCTTCTACTCCAGCTATCTTATCCGGAAATCTTTCTGATAATATGCAGTTTCCAACATCAAATGTGCGATAAAATATAAAATCGGACATTTTTAATTCTTCGATAGATGCTTGAGGATTCCTCTTGTCCTTCGATTTGCAGACAACATTGCATTTCCCCGAAATTGTTTCCTAAAAAGCGACAGTTGCAAATTAGTTAAAAGGATAAATCTACACTTCCCATTTACAACTCATTCTTCCAGTTCGATAGCCTTCGTACAAGTATGAACAGTCATTGCTCTCCCTGAGCACATAATGTAAAAAAGAGAATATGTTAAAGACTTGAAATAAATTATTACCAGAGCATTAATATTAAAGAGACCTTGGCCTACACCCGAACCCAAGAATAACTCATTGCTGAGTGCACGAGTGCCTCTTAACCACTGTTGTACCTCACTGGGACGAAAATACCACACAACCTTCACCTTCTTATCAAGGTGGTGTGTCTCATATATCTCAACAAGTTTACCAATATGTGGCTCTTGTTGACCCTCACACCACAAATACACAGAATCATAAAGGAAGTACTCCACACCATCGTAAGTAAATGATCCATAATATTGTCTATCGAGCTTCTTTCCACCAAGTCTCTCCTTACGGCCCCAACTAAACGCGATTTCCTCTGCTACATTTGTATTTCCTTCTGTAAAGTGAGACATATCTGTGGATAAAATTTGATGAAAGGCATCAAGTCAATTCAAAGCACACTTGTAGAAGGTAAGTATATTGTAAAGGCCCAACTCACTCGACAGAACAATTCTAATAACCATCTACCATTCATCATGTGAAGGTATGGTATGATCTTCTATTGACTCCAATCTTAAGGGTTCTATACGAGAAAGTATTGTTCGTAATAGAACTTGAAACGTATAATTCTCTATCATCTAAAAGTAGTTTCAAAATAGTAGTCCAGTTTATTGTAAAATGATCCAGCTCTATAGTTTTTCATCCTCAACGACATGACAAATCTGTAAAGTGGACTGTAATATCCACCCCTTAGCAAGGTGGAAATGATGCGAAAACACAGAAACAAACCTGGAAGATGCAAAACACAAGGCCCCAATGGTAATGATCAAATATGAACCAAAATAAACGGACCAGATGAAGGGAACTCTTGAAAGAAAACTATGATCACGATTCACGAACCTCTTTATTTACAAGCATCATCAACTACTTCCATCATTATCTACAGTGAAAACCTTGCATCATTGGAGTTGAAAATGACAAATAAAACCACGATGTTCCAAGCAAACACGCAAGAGATCAAAAGCAAGAACAGCAACCGATACGATCCATCAACTGATATAACACAACTAGAAACCCTAGGTATCGGTATCAACGTAATGACAAAATTAAAATCTACTGTGAGAAAACACTCAAATAGCAAATCCTTGAGCATAAACGAAATGCAGCGGGAAAGAACGATGATTAACCTTACCAGTTTCAAACTCGCAATGTCAAAAACGTCGATCACACGAACTGACACGCAGGGATTTCAGAGAGGAAAACAGCAAAACAACTTAAGAAGAAGATAGACGGAGGACTAAAATGTGGCAGGCAGCGGTGAGCTCCTATGGCCACGACGCTGGTGATCGGAATCTGAGTCGCCTGTGTAAATTGTCAGAAAAAGCTGCGGGAGGGAGACGTCCATGCATTTGGCCATGGAGGGTGATGGAGGGTTTTTGTTAACATTTGAGGCGCCATCAAATAAAAATAAAATCACATTCCAACTTTACAACAAAGCAAATTGGATGAAAAACTAACCTATTTTAATTTAATTTTTATTTTGGGTAACGTATTTTTAAAATTTTCATTTTGATACCAAAATGTAAAGTTTTAAACATTTAAGTACCCGGATAACTGGTTGAAGTATTAACTGATTATCATGCTGCTATGGCGAGTGATGTGATATCCAACTCGGTATTATTTGTTGACATGGTCAATGACGTGGATTTTTAAAAATCTAAAATTAGTCTTTTTTTTATTCTAAAATTGGTCTTTCCGGGTTACCCGGGTACTTAAATCTTTAAAACTTTACATCTTAGTTACCAAAATGAAAGTTTTGAAAGTACGTTACCCAAAATAGGAATCAAGTTAAAATACGTTACTTTTCATGCAATTTGCCCTTACAAAAAAGATTGGTGTATATATATATATATATATATATATATATATATAGACTTGGGATCATGTGAGACCAAAAGTTTTTCGTGAGACCCAGAAGACCAATTTTTAAACTTTGGATTAGATCTATAATCTAAACATTCATAATCACAAAATTGCCACAAAACTTCTCAATAATCACAAAATTGCCACCGTACAACTTTAGACCATTAGATCATTAGTTTATAAAGATGATCGATGAATATAAATTGGTCTTATGGGTCTCACGAAAAACCTTTGGTCTTATGTGAACCCAACCCTATATATATATATATATATATATATAAGTCTATATAGGGTTGGGTTCACGTGAGACCAGCCTGTTTTCGTGAGACCCGTGAGACCACGTTTTTACACGTAAACTTCACAACAAAAACACTGTGAAGGTTTTAAAAAGTCGAACCTTCACAGCAAAAACACTGTGAAGGTTTTAAAAAGTCACCTTCACAGCATTTTTGCTGTGAAGTTTCAAGTGTAAAATGCTGGTCTCACGGGTCTCACGAAAACAGGTTAGTCTCACATGATCCCAAGTCTATATATATGTATGTATGTGTATGTGTGTGTGTGTTACTTATTTTGTTAACCCGATAGTTGGTGTTAACTATATGAACCAATCTTAATTTTTAGTTCTTGAAATCTATGGACTAAATCATGGCATATTTGTGATAATGAAAATTTGAATAAAAATATACATTGGTGAACATTTTAGGACAGGGATATTTGTGGGAAAAAAGGATGGCATATGAACGTCTATGAAAAATGTTATTGAACACCTATGAACATCATACGGTTATGAACACAATTTTACGAAAGTCTTATGATTATGAATACATTTTTATGAACATCTACGAGCACATTCTTATGAATACCTTATGGTTATTAATACATTCTTATGAACATCATTAAATACCATAAAAGTAACTTACACAAAAAAAGTTGTTACATCTCATTAAATATTATAAGAGTAAGGGGCTGTTTACCTAAACACTTACCCGGTAAGCACTTACCAGTAAAATTCAATATTATCACTTACTACCGAATATAATTTTATTCACTAAAACGCATCGTATGCAACAATTTATCCCGGTAAGCGCTAACCATGGTAAGAGTCATCGTCCTCACTTACTAGGTAAGACTCTCGATTCTTGCCTTCGCTCTTACCGGGTAAGATTTTTAGTCTTAACTATATTCGTCCGGTAAAGTAATGTGACTTGGTAAACGCTTATCCGGATAAGCGTTTGGTAAACGGCACCTAAGTTACACATAAAAATTACCTATTTGTCCTTCGTGATTAAATCAAACATTTGAAGCATCATCTACTAAATAAAATCTTCTTGGTTCAATAAATTCATGAAGTTAATATCATGTTCTTGGTTAACAAAATATCTTTAACCCCCCCCCCCCTCTCTCTATGTATGTATGTATGTATATATATCTATATATATATATATGTGTGTGTGTGTGTGTATAATGGGATTTTTGAACTTATTATAGGTATCAAGTTGGACGAAGTTATAGGGTCAGTCTTATGTTTTACGCTTTGGAGTAATGGTATCGAAGTTGATCCTTGTATTATCGGGATGATGGAGCAAACCTCGAGGGGGTTGTTTGTAACATGTTAGGAAAATCTCACATCATCAATTACAAGCAAGAAGATTATGGACAAGCCTAACAAGGACATACGAAGTTTAATGGACGAGTTTCTAACTACGCGTCCCACGCTAATAGAAAATGGGATTTGTAAGCTCCTTATAAGCATCAAATAGTGGGTTATCAATAGTTTTCTTCATGGTTTTAAATTAGGTTCGAAGTTATCAGGCCACCCTGTTGCTTTGGGTCTAGGGGTGTTACATGTCGAGTGACTTACCCCAAGGGCAGACCCCACCTTAATAGATACGGTGGCATGGGCCACCACTTCGTTCTACGTAGAAAATTATACGATAAAAAGAGAAATAATATACAATTCTTTCTTACCAATAAAAGATATTTAAAATAAATATTGAAGAGAGAAATAATATTTCATTAAATATATATAATATTTTAATAATATAGTTAATATTAAAATTGTTAAAATAGAATAGTTGTTGATTTTAAATGTAACTTTTTAAAAGATTTCAACTTTAGATACTTATAACATAACTATAACATGCTTTTATACCAAATTGTCAATACAATCATGTTGTTGATGGAATTTCTTTAGTCTTCAAGGTCTTTGAGGGATTTAGGGGTTGTTTACCCTAATGCTTATTCGGTAAGTGGTTTATCTATAGGAGTCAACACTATAATTTATTTTGATGAGTAAAATTTTAGTATATCAAAACGTATTGAATGCAACAATTTACCGGGTAAGCGCTTACATGGGTAAGAGTCGTAATTTTCATTTACCGGGTAACACTCTTCATCTTTCTCATCGCTCTTATCCAGTAAGATTCTTGGCCATTGTCATCTTCATCCAATAAGAAAATTTATTCGGTAAGCACTTGCCAAGTAAGCGTTTAATAAACGGCCCCTTAGATTTCATAGAGAAATTTAGATTGGAATGAATTTTAAATCATTGGTGTGTTTGGTTTGTATGATTTGAAATGAAATTGTATCTCATCATTTATAAAAAAAATTATAAATAATTATATAAACACACACATACATACATATATGTATATATTATCGTAATGGGTAACGGGTAGTGGATAACGAAAAATTATTTATCCATACCCAATTCACTAAAATTTCGAGCAACGGGTAAACACATAAATGGACAAAATTTTCTTTATCCAACATGTGAAAACATAACAAATAACGGGCTCACCCTTACCCATCATCACCAGTCCTAAACAAACCCTGATAGCGTTGGACCAAATGGCTTTCGAAACCAATGGTTTCAATTGTCATTTTCTACAACATACAATTCCGTTCAACAATAATCACCTCTTTAAAACAACAGCCTTTATAAACAATTTGATCAAACCCCCCTTTGCAAACAAATTACACGTGAGCAAAAAACATCAAGAGAGCTCTCTAAAACAACATACAAACCACGAGCCTGCCTGCCTGCCTCTAAAACTAGCTTTTTTTTTATCAAAAATACACCAAAAGAGAAAGAGAAGTTGATCAACTCTACCTCTTTTGAACCACCAAAAATCAATCAAACCTCAAAACCAAATGACCTTCTCATCCTACTCTCTCTTTCTATTGCTTTTCACAATCTCTTGAATTTAATACTTGGCTAATGAATGGTAATACAGCTGCAAGTAACGCCTTCGGGCATTCCTCGTGAGGTAGATGCCCACAACCCGATATCGCAACCAGCCTCTGCAACAGTCCGTATACAATATTTTTTACAGTCAGGATAGGTTCAACGAAAATGTAAACACGCATATCAAAAATCCTCACCCAGATAAATTCCAACCAACCGATCACCCACAAAATACCAATGGTTCCGGTAGAATCTGATGTTTCGTCAACAAGTTAAAATGACACCAAAATAAAAGGTTCATATAGTTTCCAATTTTTATTTTATACATTTTCTATATTATTTTTTTGTTATTAAATATTTACATAAATTAACCAAATGTATTAAAATAATATTTTGAGGACAATAAATGTAATAAATAAAATTTAAAGGATGAACGAAATGTAAAGATGAAGGCGTATTTGATGTTTTCAAAGAGATTTAAGTTTTTTTAGTGTATATTGGCACCAGATAGGTTTGTTCCACATTGTTCCACCATGTTCCATGGATTGTGGGTGGAACACGCATGTTTTACTTTATTCCTGTAACTCGTCCTGCCAAACGTGGAACAATGATCCTATTCTATTATGTCATGTCCAGTGTACCAAACGCACCCTAAGGCCTATGAGACTTAAAATTGTGTTGAAGTAGAAAGAGAAAGAGAGGGATAGGATGTACTCACAGAATTTACAAACTTGGATGCCATAGCTTGGACAGATTTTAGAGGAACAAGGGCATCTTCAGCTCCTGCAATAACCAAAAGTGGCAATCCCTCCACTGCTTTTACGAGCGATGATTCATTTTGTTGCGAGATAACCGTTTCAGATGACAATCTACCAATCTCATGCAATGCTTCATCCCAACCTTCTACACATAATGGCACCTAATGTCGTACCAAAACGGTAAATTCAGAGAAGTGATTTGGTGATATAATATCTCTTATAAATAGTAACCCGGTGAGAATGGAAAAAAGAAAATTATGGGACTGTTTGGTTCAGACTAGGGAATGAAAATGGGAATAGAAATGAAAATGACTGCGAATGAGTATGAGATTGAATTTTCATTCCCCCTGGTTTAACCTGGAATGAAAATTTGTGGTTCTAAGGAAATCGGTCCATTATATTATATAAAACCAAATAGTTTCTTTTATTTTCATTCCAAATAACACCCCCAACCAAACACCCCCTAAAATTAATTTACCACAAGATATATGTGTAAATACCTTGTAGAGGCTTAATACTTCCGTTGTTAGCTTGGTAGCGTCGTACCATGCTCGCCGGTTAACAACTTGAGAAATTTCGGTGCGAAGTAAAGGACGAATCAAGTGCTTCTTCCCTAGAGAAGTACGCATGAGAATTCTAGCAAAGCCAGGGACAACTTCTCTTGACAAGCTTGTTGTTAGCAATACTACACCCTTAATCTCGACCTGAAAATGTACCCATTTTTTCAATAATATACAATGTATAGCCTGGTATTGAGCATGTGTATAACAGCAATAATGCAATTTATTTTGTTACCGATGATCACAGTGAATCCACGTGTATATTCAATAGTTGGTAGTATTTACTTCTAGAGAAACATAAAGAAATGTATATACTAGATTAGCTCTTCACAAGTAATAACAGGTCCATGATATTTTTTATCTGATGTAAATTCAGTATTTTTCGAGCACTAATAAGAAGTACAATTCTTAAAGTTGACTCCAGACACTCCACAACACAAAACTCTTTAAAATGATAGGCAGCCATGTATTACTTTCTTTAACATTTTCAAATCTAAGTCAGTCAAAACAGATATGCAGCATTTATAATTTACAGCTCTTCCTTGTTGATCTTGTATTAGTCTTTTTGAATTTTGAGTAAATTACAATTTTCGTCCAGTTGGTTCAGAAAATAAGATTTTCATCCCTATGGTTTACAATTTATGGCTTTCCCAGGACTAATTCCTACCTCTAAAGTACAAGAGACCAAAACAGTAAAAAATGGTAAACAGGGACCGAAACAACAACGAATTATAAATCGTAAGAACAAAAATAGCAATGAATTACAAACCATTGGGATGAAAAGTGCAATTTCTAAATCATAGGGACGAAATCACAATTTTTACCAAACCACAGGGAGGAAAAACATAATTTACTCTTGTTTTCTGCTTTTCTTTTTTGCTTTACTTTTGCAAACCGGTGGTCTTCACATAAACAGCCTCTCTACCCTTGGCGGTAGAGGTAATGTCCTCATACACCTTACCCCCATACCCTACTGTGAGATATATTGGGATTGTTTGGTTTTGGTTCCTTGTTGATCTTGTATTAGTTCACATGGCTTAAACGAAGAAAAAAACAAAGAAGATAGATTACAAGACATGGAGAGTATTCCAGATGTCATCAGAAACTAAGGGTCAGAAACAAATGCTGACATAATGCTTCAGAAAGATGCACTTGGTAAGTTGAGCAAAACAAAATGATGATTGTCAGCATACAACTTTTTCTGCACAAAATCGTTAACTTACATTGACAAGATTTGCAGATGCCTTGACTCTTTGTGAGACCTTCAAAGCAAGGAGGCCTCCATCATCATGACCAACAAGCACAACAGAGGAAAGGCCCATCTCTTTACAGAATGAAAGAACCATGTCAACCTAGAATAATTTTACAAAAATGAAGTTCAGATTTACATTTTATATCAGTTACATAACTGTTAAATTGCTAATAAAAGGTGCTATTATCATGTAAGAAGGTGTTGCAAGAAAAGTAGCGACAATGGTGCAAGAACACTACATAAGTGCGGGATGCAATTATCCTTTTGCCAAAAAAAGTTCCAGATGCAAAAGCCTAGGTTGAAAAGGTTTACACCAACCACAGACAAAGTGTTATTTACCATGAACATAGCTACAAACTGTAATGATGTTCACTATGACATTGTAAAGACAACCCAAAATCATGCACTTTATTATACATGTGATATCGGTTATATAACAACTGCAAAGTTAACAACAAACTGATCTACTATCATGCAAAATTAGGAAGTGCTATATAATAACTAAGAACATCGGTGCAGTACCTCCCGATTAGTGCAAGAAGCATGTGTAACTAATATAAAGAGTTATCCAACAAGAAAATATAAAAAAAAGGCTGCAATGATGTTTTGTTATAAGGTGCTCAAAATTCAGAAGATGTGGATTACATCACCTGAGTATCAAGCATGTAAGGGTTGCGCAAATTGTTTGCCTCCCATTCCTCTCGCCTTGGCCTGGAAGTCAACCCCCAACCAGGACGATCGAAAGCTACAACAGTACAGTTAAGATGCCGAGATAGCACACCCATAACATGCCTCCATGAGAAGACTCCCCCTCCAAAGCCATGCACTAAGACAATCCCAAACTGGCCATTCACTTCAGGAACTTGTTCGAGCAAATGAGAAAAAGGTTTACTAATGACATTATCATCAATGCCTTCATCTAGGCTGAAAATGGGAATTTCTTCAGAACGTATAGAGGAAGTGGTACCATCTAAAAGCGGAGCATAGAGAGATGTGTGCATTTGATTGCTAAAGCTCCTACGAAGATTATATTGGGTCTTCGACATAGCATTTAGCAATGGCCTCTCAAGGAGGGTAGAGGATAGCGTACGGGAAGGTGGACTGGGCATGCTGAGTTTGTAGTGTACGGTGACACCCTGCCAACCCATGAATAGACTGTCAACATCAGCTAGTAATCTAACTGGAAGTTCCCCATCATTTCGACCATGACCAAAAGGTTTTCGTCTGATTTCACTGTCACTTTTTGGTGTCCTACCAGCAGTAGGAGTTGGAGATCGCGGAACTTTAGAATACCCAGATGTAAATAAAAGCTTGCTTGAAAGAACCTACAGATTATATTAGAAATGATGATCAGAACACGATTAAATATGGCAGAATGTTTGGAGAATAAATTGAATTAGTCTCATTTTTTTCATATGGCCTATAAACAACAGACTTCCACTTCAAGGATAACGATAAAACACAGTTAAAAAAAATAACTTCAACTTCACACAGTTATAGCAAACTTCAACTTCCCAATAAGCAATAAACAATTGTACTTTATTTCATTAAACTAACTCCAAGTCTTCAGACAACCTAATGCTAAAAGATCTCAAATGGCTTTCAAGTAGCAGAGGTACATGTGTGCAGAAAATATCAGTAACTATACGTACTGATTCAGGATCAATTCGGTGAAGCATAAACTTCCTCCGTGCTCTGCAGCTAGCCCGATAAGCAATAACAATATGTCCAAGAGCAAAAACCACAGACGACAGAAACAGTACAGGCATCCCCCACGACTTCTTCAAATGAAGCCTTTGCCTTGAAGGAGAAGATGAAGCTTCAGCCTCAAGTTGTGAATTGACGGTGAAAATACACACTTTAATGGATAAAAGAAGAATTGAAAAGGCTGAGCAAAATGTCACTGTTCCAAGATATTGCCCATGTGAGAGCAGAGGGCCATCACAGATTATATAAGCACCTGCAAACACAAAGGAGATGTTAACGCTCGCAAAAGAAGGTCCTCAGCACCTGAGTTCAGATATGCTATATATTTCACAGTATACAGGTAGATGAAAGCAAATGCTGACATTAAAGTCAACATTATCTAGATCAACCGAAAAAGGTGATGCAATTAACAAATTTCATGTTGTCCCCATATTTATTCTTGTGTTTGTGCATTCTAAAGCTTTATAAGTAAGAATGTAAATTTGCTGACCCATCTCATGGCTAAACCTTCTGCATGCATAGAATGTGCACTGGGACATCCTTTTTCCTTTGGGTGATGATCCCATTTGATTAGCATCAATGAAATAAATAAAAAAAAGGTAAAAAGAAGAGAATGAGGGCAAAGGCACTATCCGCATATTTAGACACCATTGTCAGGGATTCACTTTTATATGCAACAAAAAAGCAAAACTCAATGATTTCAAGAACCCCATGTGCTATCAAGTAGTGTTGCTACAAGTATATAACAGCATTTGACATCCAGACATGTAACGGCACTTTTCACTTTTCAAAAAGTTATGGACCACAAATTGTTAGAACAAAATTGACTACAGAAATACCATGTTTATAAATTAAAAAACCAATGAAAGTTGCTAACGAAACCAACGTTTGGAACAAAATCAAATCCATATAGCAGCACAAATTCTGTCCTAATGTCATAAAATTATTCTGAACTTACACAAATGCACATTACAGTACTTTGAAGTTCATATCATCATACCAGAAAGAGCAGAAAATATTGCAGAAGACGCACAAAAATTTGAATCGTGATGTTGATGGCAGTGACTTCGACCAACAATGAAAGCATGTGCAATATGAAAATAAAATGCCCACAGAAAAATAATGTAAGGAACTATACAGACAAATATCAACATCGATGGTTAAGAACCGGAGATGTGCACAACGAAATAAACTTGCATACATACATGTGATTACGAGAGATCTGATGGCTGAAACCACGGGAATGTCAGTCAATGAACTTCTAAAAGAGTATCTATGCAAATGCTCTTTGAAGCTGTAGCATCTAACACAAGTAAAGCTCGAAATCAAAACACAAGGAACCAATACATCACCAATTGCTACCAGAACAGGAAGCCATAATAGCAATAACGAAGCCACCATTACCACCATAACATATATCGTCCGTACAAATCTCCGTATTTTCTCGAACAACCCTCCCTTTCCGGCAGCCATACCGGTCAAAATTTCACCAATCCTTATTTATCGGATTTTGACGATCGGTGATGATTTCAAGTCGGTCCACAAGAGATCTGAGATTGAAGAACCAAAAAATCAAAAACCCTAGCCGATGCCACGTCAAACGACGGCGTATCAGCCATCTAAAGTCCAGCGGTTGCCGGAGAATGAAACGGCGGAGCTCTCGGTTCTCTCTATGGTGATGTTGAGGTGGAAATCAAAGAGAGAGGAGAGCAATCGGCATAGCTAGGGTTTGGAGAGAGGCTAAGAAGATGCAGAAGGGGGACGATGAAGTCTGGTGAAATTCGACGGAGGAGGTGTCTCTCTTTGTTGGTGGTTGTTTCTCGTGCTTTTCAACGAGGGAGTGTTCTTTTAAATTAAATTCATTTTCTATAAGCTTTCTTAATCATTTCATTTCCAACGATTATATCATTTCTTATTATTTTAATCCAATTTCTTTTACATATATTTTAAAACAAATTACATTCAAAAAAAATAATATACTTTAATTTAATTCCTATTTTGGATAACGTACTTTCAAAATTTACATTTTAATATCCAAGATGTAAGATTTAAATATTTAATTACTCGGGTAACTAGTTGAAACGTTAACTGGTTATCATGCTGATATGGTGAGTGATGTGGTATTCAACTCAGTATTATTTGTTGACGTGGTTAATGACATGGATTTTTTTTAATCTAAAATTAGTCTTCAACCGATTATTCAGGTATTTAAATGTTTAAAATTTTACATCTTATGTACTAAAGTGGAAGTTTTGGAAGTGCGTTATCAAAAATAGAAATTAAGTTAAAGTACGTTATTTTTTCATGCAATTTGTCATATATTTTATTAATATAAACTCAAAATAAAACATAATTTTTTTCTAAAATACCAAATACGTTTGTTTTTACATTTTATTTATTCTTTAAATTTTATATATTATATTTTATGCTTTTAAACTTTCATTATATTATCTACTCATAATATTATTTTTATATTTTGGTTAATTTATGTAATTTATTAGATATTAATAATAATAATAATATATAAAATAAAAATTGGAAACTAAAAAAAATTGTTACTTTGATGTCATTTAATCGTCTTGACAAAAACTTTGTAATGATATATTTTATTATAAAAAATTATTTTAATATAATTTAATAAGTTGTATAAATTAATCAAAATATAAAATATATAAACAATTTATCAAGGGTAAATTGGTAATTTTATTTGTTTTGTGATACTCAAGAACATCATTTTATTATAGACAATCAAATGTGATACTATTATTCCATTACATATGATACACATGTGATACTAAATCAGAGACCCGAACGATTTTCAATGCGATATTGGTTGCAGGCCAATTCGTTCTTATACCACTAATCCCCCTCACAAATATTATCACATGTGATAAGGTTATTGTTGATATGATACAATAATTCATCAAGACCATCACATGTGATGCTAAATAATAGACGCATACAATCTTTGGCGTGACCTAAGTCGTAAAACACGTCGTCCACACATCGCGTATTATCACATGTGATAAAGATGTTCTCACGTTCTCGTAAAATAAAAGTATTATCGTTTGAACATCCACCTGTATAAAACTAGATTTTGTCATTTCACACCAACTTAAGGGAAGTACCAACAAAGTTCTTGTGCAATAAATACAAGAACGTGATGTTTTTATAAGAAAAGGGGAAAGTATAAAAAAATCCAATGGACTTTAGTGTTTGGAATGATTAAGTCTTTGGACAATTTTTTGGAACAAATAAGTCATTGAATATTTCAAAACATATTAAATAACTCATTGGACAAATTTTTGGAACAAATAAGTACTTGGACAATTTAAAACATGTTAAATAACGCATTGGACAATTTTTTTGGAACAAATAAGTCCTTGGACAATCCAAAACATGTTAAATAATTTCTTGGACTTTTCTAAAACCTGTTGGATACATTTTTATGACTTATACAACTAGTTAATGTGGTAAAATAGTGAAAAAGTCCGGAAAAAAACCCAATGAACATTCATATTTTAAACGATTAAGTCCCTAAACTTTTTTTGAACCAAAAAGTATTTAGATCTATAAAATTAGACAAATATAATAAAAAAAGTACTTACATTTACAAAAAAAATTACATTTAAAAAAGATTTTTGATAAATTTTATTT